CCCCAAAACCCCAAAACCCCAAGAGGTTGATTATTTGACATTAAAGAGTATTTACTGATAAAGAACTTCGAATTTTTTAATGATAGCTATATTAGAATTTTTTAATTTTTATAATTTAAAAATGGATATTAAAAATCAATTGCCAATGCCTGATTCTTAATAATAAACATAAAACCTATTATAGGCCCGCAAATAATCCAATAGCCCCTCAAATTAAAAGCGAATTATTAAAGACAAAAGATCCTCCAATACTTTAACTTCCAAAAATCAAGGTGTTTCAAAAATGGATCCGAATCCAGATAATTAATTTTAAAAGGGTAACTCTGCTGGCTAAAGCAAGTAAAACTAATAAAAAATGGCAGATGATAATACATATATTTAAAATTCAGCGAGATCTTAACTTGATTAAAAGTTGGGCAGAAAACCATCTAATATAGATATAAGTAATCCTGGTGTCTTTAGTCCTGGCAGATAAAAAAATGAGTAAGTGCTATTGTAGACAATTTCGACGCAATTAAAAGAACAATAAGAACATATTAAGAAATTACTATAGTAGTAGTAGATGAATTAATAGAATTAGCAAAATATTTATGGTCTAAATCAAGCAACGATAAATCCTATGATGACTTACCCATTTTAAATGCAAAGTTTTCCACCTTATCATTGTCACTAGAGTATTTGCTATTTTCCTTATTAGAATCCAGGATTAGTCTAGAATTTTTAATAGAATAACAACAATCAAATTAACTCTCAATTAGACAATTTAATATAAACTTGCAATACTTTGAAAATGCAATTAGATCAATAATAAAATCTCTAAAAAAACTAATACTAGAAGAATGATCAAAACCCAAATAATCATTCATATGATCCTATCTAGTAAAATTAATCTTTGGATAATCTTGATTTCAATGATGTTTAATAAGATAACAACACCCCAGCAAGTGGCAGGAATAATTAATAAAACACTGAGATAATGATTAATGATCCCAATATTAAAAATTAACAATAAAAATAAAGAAGCTTTAATCATTCCAAAACTTAAAATCTAAGTTAGAACGTTTTCGAAAATTAAAATAATTACAAGAGATAAAAAACTTAGGGCGATAAGGGTGAAGCAATAGATGACAATGAAAATGATGAGGAATTTTTGAGTGACGATAAATCTTATGAATCGGGAAATTAATAAAGAAATAATCAGCCCTTTATGCAAACAGATATCGCTGTTGAAGCTTTAACTGATTTGAAGCATACTTATACTAGTCGAACATTAAATAATAGGGAAAAAAGGAAAATTCCTTCAGGCTATTTGAATAAAAATGACATCGTTGATATATTGCATCCACTTAAGTTATTCCTTATCAAAGTTAAGGATGGAACCTCTGGAGAGTTCGGAGAATAGTTAAAGGAAGGATTAAAAGATTTTTAAGTGAATGCCTCTAGATTTTAAATTGAGTTAGCTGACAATAATGAAGACATAGAATTGAAAATACTCTTGGCATAGCTAGTGGAGTATGCTAAGGAAGCAAATGAAATGGTACTATGCAAGTTATGCATCAAATTAGTCAAGAGAGCATCATGTGATTTCGTACACACGTCAACAATTGGGTCTCAATGTATTATTTAGGATAATTATTGTGCTGATTGTCTGCTTAAGGAGTGGGATTAAGCCCAATAAATTGGAGATTTCATGGAATGTCCTTAATGCTTTGACATTATCCAGGACTAAGAAATTTAAAAATTTAAAGATTAATATTAGCAAGCAGCTGTGAAATGATAAATGACTTAAGCATAGAGTAAAATGACTTTAATAAGCTAAAACTTTAAATTTTAAATCTTAATTTCATGAATAACTTAATATCCTTAAAGATTGATTCAAAATATACTACATTTACAAGACGAATTCTTCTCTTTATTATGCTCTTATCCATTCCGCTCTAGCTTCTCTACTAAACCATCATTTTTTATCTTATTTTTTATTTGCATTTTCATTTCATATGTCTCTTCCTTTTATTAATTCTCTTCTGTCTAAAAAATCTTGTCAATCTTAGAATCGTCTACTTCCTCCTCAGTAAAGAATTGTATTCTTTGCTCCTCGATCTCAGTTCCTATCAAATTATTATCAATACTATCGACTGTCTGCAAGCCATAATAATTCTACTTTGACTCAAGCATTATTTAATTTGAGTGAGCAAGTGATTCCCCATGAGACTTCCTGCTCCCTTTCTTCTTCTTTTTCTTTTTTCCTTTTTATAAGTATTGCTTCATTTCATGTTCTTCAAGGATTTGAATTTGTATATGATCTTAATGAATACTCTAAGGCTATTGCAAAACTTATATATTGGGATTTGAGTTTTCTTAATCTTCTCTTATATCTTAGAGGTGAGTTTATTTTCTTTATTTGCCTTGCTTGCTTTAGGTAATTGGAGTCTACTTTGACTATTGAGACAGACTTAGATCAAATAGCTGTTAACTTTAATTGGGAGTTCTTTGAGTCGTATATCCATTTTAATTGTTTGAAGTGTTGTTAACGTTAGCTGACATTTACTAGAATTTATTTATGCTAACTGGGATAGATTTACTATTAAGGTTTTAATTATGTGGAGTCATCATTAGGTTATTCGGACTTTTCCCTTGGCTTGAACCACGAGAGCACTAGATACAAGATTAAGAAGATGTAACTGTACCAATGCCTCCATCAACAGATGATTACTTGGTTATTTTATATCTCATCTTCTCTATTTCATCTTAAAGATTGTCTTGCATATGCTTAAAGTTATTTTCCATTTGCATGAGCTTGGCGTTCTAATTATCACTCATTTTCTCAATCAAAGAGGTCAAGATCATGACTTATTGCTTTAAGATATTATTTTCATTGTTTACATCCTTTGAAATCAATGAGTTTTTATTGTTATTGTTATTGTTCGAAGGAGATGGAAACATATTGGATATCTAGGAGAGATTCTAGAACTAAGAAAGCTTTCTTTTTCTTAAATTCTGATTATGGTCATTCACATCAAACTCCTAAATGTAAGTTGAAATTTTCTTCTGATGACCCGGAGGGTGGGGAGGCTTCTAGATGCTTGAAATGTTAGCTTGATTAATGAACACTCCGTTAGATGATTAATTATTTCCTATCTCATAGTATTATTAATATAGATTTTTAGGTGAGATCTCAAGCGATGGAGATTGGCAGTGTGCAAATTCCTCTGGCAATTTTTAACCAATAACTAAGTTAAATACAGCTGAATTTTCTTTAAGCATCATACTATCCACAATATTTTCCTTCTTCCAATTGTTATAACTCTTTGTTTTAGTGAGCCCTGTGATCATTATTTGATTCTAGTGCTAATATTGATTCATAGTTTGACTATTATGACTAGATTGACTTAATGAATTAGTTTCTGTATGAGAAGAGCGAAACTCATTGACATCATCTTGAATACCCTAAAATTAATGATCTTCGTTGCTTCCATCATCTGGGACACTTTGCTAAGCTGATTGTAAATGATTAATGTCTGACTCGAAATGCACTCTTTTATTTGTATTTGAGCACGATCTTCCAGCTGAGTTCGTGATTAATATGGGTGAATTGTAGTCATTTATGTTTGTTTGAAACCTGTGATGATGAGGACCAGAATTCAATTATTGATGCTGTTGATAATAATACTAGCTCTTTTCGGATGGCGTATTCTACTCATGGTAGTTCGATTAGTAATTTGATATTGAAATCGAAGGTGACTACACATTGAAGCATATATTATTCATCTTATTATGAATTTATAAATTGAAAAATAACAATTACAAACAATCAAGTATAGCTACCTCATGGGGTTTTGGGGTTTTGGGG